AACAAAGAATATTATTTAGCAATAAAATATTATCTCGACTCTTAATATAATTGCAGCACGATGACAATTACCATAATAATATTCAGACGTTCATAACATACGATTTTCTATACCACACATCTACCAACGATTACAATGAACTTTTTTACGTTACAGTATTTATTCTTCGACAACTTTCTTTTACTAACATTCTTTTAAAGTTGGGAGTGACCAAGTGGTTAGTTTGCACATAATGTGAACCACAGGATTCATGGTTCGCGGCCAGTTGCCGAAAAAACAAAACGGATTCCGCACTTTGGAAACGTCGGTACACTATAAGGCTAACGGTCAAACTCTACTATTTGATCAGAAAAAAAAAAAGAGTAGCCAAGAGTTAGTGGTGGGTAACGTTGGCTAGTCCTAGCCTGTCAGTTCAAAATTATGGATGGCTATGTGCAGATAGTCCTAAGTGTATATAACAAACCGACAAACACTCTTCTAACAAGCGACACAATGATTGTTTTTTTCCAACTACTTAAAAGTCAAATTACATTCTAAAATAGAAGACAATTCATTAAGTGGTTTTATCGTTTATCATCGGAAAGAAGAAGGAAAAAAAAACAACCTTGAAACAAGTCCCATGCAATTTGTTTCGCTTGGGCGGCAAGTAATAACAAGTCCAACTCAGACACGTCTCTGAATGTAATTAACTTTTCATGGGAAGTTTGTTATTTTGTAGTTCATATTAACCGCCAATAGGTGTCGTTTCCTTTATTATAGTCTTCATCAATGCGTTTGTTTGTTGTTAAGCGCAAAGCTTCATAATGAGCTATCTGTGACACGCCCACTACAAATTAACGAAACCTGTTTTTTTTTTAGCGTTATACGCCTTCAGAATTACCCCTTAGCCACTGGGGAGCGTCTTCATCAGTAGATAAAGTGACGTCATAATATTTTCTAGTTAGTAAATATTTAAGTTATCCTGATAGAATGAAGAAAGAGTTGTTTAAGAGCACTATTTCAAGGTAGTTGTTGCTATGGTGACATCTTAAAGATAGTTTGTTGTCAGAGGGCACTATTTAAATGTAGTTGCTGCTATGGTGACATATTAAAGATAGTTTGTTGTCAGAGGGCACTATTTAAATGTAGTTGCTGCTATGGTGACATATTAAAGATAGTTTGTTGTCAGAGGGCACTATTTCAATGTAGTTGTTGCTATGGTGACATCTTAAAGATAGTTTGTTGTCAGAGGGCACTATTTAAATGTATTTCTTGGTATGGTGACACCTTAAAGATAGAATATTTACCTCTGACAACAAACTTTCACAAACACACAAATTATCTTACCCTCAACCGAGGTTCGTAAGATCGGTCCCTAATTTTCCACAGTATCTAATTGGTTGACAACAGCACATAATGGCATGGTTTCAACGAAAAACTCCATGTCAATGTATATATTCCCCTATTTCCTCTTTACTAAGCTTGTTGATCATATACAATTATTAAGCCTTATTTAGGTGAACTTTGAGCTTAAAATACTCGTACGTAAGCGTTTGGAAGAATGAAAAAATTATAGGCATAAAAGGTGAACAGTTTAAGGAGCTGAGATACACTTTCGAAACCAAAATTATTTTAAACATCCAGTAATTGAGACACGATATTCATCATTTCAGAAGATACCTAAATACCGTCGCCATCTTGTAAGAACCTTTGAATTTTAAAATAAACCTACATGTATGCTCGGATCATTCACTCAGATGGCAAAGAGGTCCACATGTCATGCTCGTTCCGTATTTCTCGAAAAAGGGGGTGCTTTTTAATTGGGTGTAAAACCCTGTTGAAACTTATAAAAAGGAAGTGGTGAAACACCCTCTATAACTGAAAAAGTTACCATTGCCTCAACACAAGGTTAACCCTAGAACACATCTGAAATGTTCATAATGTTATTCAAATATAAGAAGTGTCCCAAGATATTTCAATGTGTCCATTCGTAATATAAGTCTTGGATAGGACATTACTGAAGCTAGAGGAATTTGAAATTTCTCTTTGCAACGTTGGAGTTGTTGTTTGTAAATACCAATCAAATTAACCCTGAGGTAAAGGTAATGTTATACAAAGTGTAATCTTTAACTGTCTCTCTCTCTATATATATAGAGAGAGAGCATTTCGGTAAATCTGATGGCTTATAACGAGATAAATTGGGTTTCGATACTCGTAGTGGACATAGAACAGAAAGCCCATCATGTATCTTTGTGCTTAGCAATAAAGAAACAAACAAATCCCTACATGGGAGGCATGTCCCGAGGTAAGGGATATCAAACCTTGCAAGTCTTAAGATAGGGAGGATATTAAATTTTGCAAGTCCTGATAAAAGGGGTATATTAAACCTTGCAAGACCTGATATATGGAGTATATTAAACCTTGCAAGACCTGATATCGGGATATATTAAACCTTGCAAGACCTGATATAGGAGGTATATTAAACCTTGCAAGACCTGATATAGGGGTATATTAAACCTTGCAAGACCTGATATAGGAGGTATATTAAACCTTGCAAGACCTGATATAGGGGTATATTAAACCTTGCAAGACCTGATATAGGGGTATATTAAACCTTGCAAGACCTGATATAGGGGTATATTAAACCTTGCAAGTCCTGATATAGGGGTATATTAAACCTTGCAAGTCCTGATATATGGAGTATATTAAACCTTGCAAGTCCTGATATATGGGGTATATTAAACCTTGCAAGACCTGATATAGGGGTATATTAAACCTTGCAAGACCTGATATAGGGGTATATT